TCATCATAACAGCTGTCTTTTAGAACATTTCCTCTTTCTTGTAGTAATCCCTTCTGGTGACCGAAAGAGTGATGATGCAGACATACCTTGTTTTATTGCTCTTCATTTTTTTGCTCTTTGCGGGATAGTGTGTTTTTTACAAATTAAAGGTTGGTTACAACCCTGTATCAACACGTCTATTGGTGACATTTTTCCAACAGCATGTGCTCACTTCATGTCTCTGCATCACGTTTTCGTAATTCTTGTACTTTTTCATTATTATATGTTATGGTTATCTATAATCAGTTATCGTTGATGTTACTATTGTAATTGTCTTGTGATACCATGAACCACGCCCATAGAAAATGGCAAATTTAGTGTTATGTCTATTCTGACTGCTCTGCTGACCAGTGATTCCCTCTCCCCCTCTCCTTGGGCCTACCTATTCCCTGAGACACAGTATTGAAATTAGGTCAGTTTAATAACCCTACAATGGCTTCTAAGAGTTTAAGTGAAAGGAATAGTACTTCTCTGATTTTAAGTCAAAAGCTAGAAATGATTAAGCTTAGTGGGAAAGGCATGTTGAAAGCCCAGATAGGCCTAAAGCTAGGCCTCTTACGCTAATAAACAGTTAGCCAAGTTTTTTTTTTTTTTTTTTGAGACAGAGTCTCACTTTGTTGCCCAGGCTAGAGTGAGTGCCATGGCATCAGCCTAGCTCACAGCAGCCTCAAACTCCTGGGCTCAAGCAATCCTGCTACCTCAGCCTCCCAAGTAGCTGGGACTACAGGCATGCACCACCATGCCCGGCTAATTTTTTCTCTATATATTAGTTGGCCAATTAATTTCTTTCTATTTATAGTAGAGATGGGATCTCGCTCTTGCTCAGGCTGGTTTCGAACTCCTGACCTTGAGCAATCCTGCTAGGATTACAGGCGTGAGCCCCTGTGCCCAGCTGTTAGCCAAGTTTTGAATGCAAAAGAAAAGTTCTTGAAGGAAATTAAATGTGCTACTCCAGTGAACACACGAATAATAAGAAAGCAAAACAGCCTTATTGCTGATGCAGAGAAAGTTTTATTGTTGTTCTGGATAGAAGAGCAAACCATCCATAACGTTCTCTTATGCCAAAGCCCAATCCAGAGCAAGGCCCTAACTCTCTTCAATTCTTTGAAGGCTGAGAATGGTGAAGAAGCTGCAGAAGAAAACTTTGACGGTACCAGAGGTTCATGAGGTTTAAGGAAAAAAGCTATCTCCATAACATAAAAGTGCAAGATGAAGCAGCAAGTGCTGATGTAGAAGCTGCAGCAAATTATCCAGAAGATCTAATTAAGATAATCGATGAAGGTGGGAACACTAAGCAATAGATTTTCACTGCAGACAGAACAACCTTATATTGGAAGAAAATGCCCTGTAGAACTTTCATAGCTAGAGAGGAGAAGTCCATGTTTGGCTTCAAAGGACAGGCTGACTTTCTTATCAGGAGCTAGTGCGGCTAGTGACTTGAAGCTCATTTACCATTCCAAAAATCCGAGGGTCCTTAAGAATTACACTAAATCTAGCTGGGTACAATAGCTCAAACCTGTAATCCCAGCAACTTGGGAGGTTAAGGCAGAGGATTGCTTGAGGTCAGGACTTTGAGACCAGCCTGACCCCATCTCCAGCAAAAATATTTTTTATAAATTAGCCAGGGATGGTGGCATGCACCTGTAGCCCCAGCTGTTTGAGAGGCTGAGGCAGGAGGGTTGCTTGAGCTCAGGAGTTTGAAGTTACAGTGAGCAATGATCATGCCATTGTACTCCAGCTTGAGTGACAGAGTAGGACCCTGTATATTAAAAAAAAAAAAAAGAGTAGACTTTTACTAAGTCTGCTCTACCTATGCTCTTTTATAAATGTAACAAAAAAGCCTGGATGACAGCACATCTGTTTACCGTGTGGTTTACTAAATATTTTAAGCCCACTGTTGAGACCTACTCCTCAGAAAGATTCCCTTCAAAATATTACTGCCCATCGACAATATATCTAATCACCCAAGAGATCTAATGGAGATAGACAGGGAAATGAATGTAGTTTTCATGCCTGCTAACACAGCATCTATTCTGCAGCCTGTGGACCAAGTAGTAATTTTGAGTTTCAAGTTTCATTATTTAAGAAATAGATTTTTTAAGGCTATAACTACCATATATAGCAGTTCCTCTGATGGATCTGGGCAAAGTCAATCAAAAATCTTCTGGATTAGCCGGGCATGGTGGTGCACACTTATAGTCCCAGCTACTCCGTAGGCTGAGGCAGGAGGATCGCTTGAGCCCAGGAGTTTGAGATTGCTGTGAGCTGTGATGATGCCACTGCATTCTGCAGCCAAGGCAACAGAGTGAGACTCTGTCTTAAAAATAAAACAAAAAGCCCCAGGAGTTGGGAAGAAGTTGATTCCAACCCTCATGGATGACTGTGAGGGTTCAAGACTTCAGTGGAGGAAGTAACTGCAGATGTGGTAGAAATAGCAAGAGAGCTAGAATTAATAGAAGTGGAACCTAAAGATGTGGCTGAATTGCTGCAATCTGATGATCAGACTTTAACAGTTGCTTCTTATAGGTGAGCAAAGTGATTTCTTGAACAGAAGTCTGTTCCTGGTGAAGAGGCTATGAACATTGTTGACAAAACAATGAAGGATTTAGAATATTGCATGAACTTAGTTGATAAAGCAGCAGTGAGGATTGACTCTAATTTTGAAAGAAGTTCTGTGGGTAAAATGCTATCAAGCAGCATTGCATGCTACAGAGAAATCTTTCCTGAAATCAATCAATGTGGCAAACTTCACTGTCTTATTTTAAGAAGTTGCCACAGACACCCAAACCTTCAGTGACCACCGCCTTGATCAGTCAGCAGCCATCAACATCAAGGCAACACCCTCTACCAGTAAAGATTACGACTGACTGAAGACTCAAATGATCATTAGCATTTTTTAGCAATAAAGTATTTTTGATTAAGTTATGTACTTTTTTAGACATGCTACTGCACACTTACTAAATCTAAATTATAGCATAGGGTAAAGAGCTTTTATATGCACCCAAAACAAAAAATTTACATGACCCACTGTATTGCAACATTTTCTTTATTGTAGTAGTCTGGAACCAAACCCACAGTATCTCCAAGGTATGTGCCTGTATGGGGGGAAAGACTAGAGCCAGGAGGCTGTGGCCATTCCCAGCCAAGAGAGGAGGGCCTCACAGAGTGGTGTGGAGAGGAGGGAGAAAATTCAAGGACTACTTCACATGGAAAAATCACACGATTTGATGTCATATGGGTCCAGATGAGGGGAAGGAATCAAGGATCCCCAGGTTTCCAGTTTTGCTGACCAGGTCCACAGAGGTACTGCCAAGTGAAGAAGGCTTGGGAACAGCTATTTTAGTTCTGGGTTTGTCAGACATGAGGTGCCTTCAGGAAATTGGTGGCGGTCACTATCAGGCAGTTGGATGTGAGTCTGGGGGTCAGAGAAGAGGCCTGGCCAGAGAGAGAGGGGAGCTACAAGTACACACAGGGCAGCGAACTCCAAGTGTGGGGATGAGGTCACCAGGGAAAGCATGGAGAGAGGAAGAGGGTGGGCCGAGGATGGACCTGGAGTGCTAACATGGAGCTGACAGGAGAGACCTGGAACCAGGAGAATGGGCCACTGTGAAAGCCAGGAGCAGGGGTTCAAGTGGGTCTTCTTGGTGGGCTTCTGGGGATCTGCAAGCCCCTGAAACAGTTTTGTATACACGCGTTCCATGTGCTCAGCTTCCTGTGGGGTCTTTAGCACCAAAAAAAGGTTAAAGAACCTCTAGAGCAGGGGTCCTCAAACTACGGCCTGTGGACCACATGTGTCCCACTGAGGACATTTATCTGGCCCACCGGGTGTTTTTGCCACCACTGCCTGTCCTACTTAGCAGCCGACTCTTCCCAGGCCCACAGTGTACATGTGTGGAATGTGCGCCACACTCTCCAATGGTCTGAGGGACAGTGAACTGGCCCCCTATTTAAAAAGTTTGAGGACCCCTGCTCTAGAGGGTTGAATTTCAAAAATTAAGCTGCCAAGATAAGGACTGAAAAGTAATTCACTGGGTTTGCCAATGCTCAGCTGGGCACAAAGGCGAGCCCGGTGGAGAGAAAGTGGAGAGGTGCCCAGTGCTGGTGGAAGCACAGCTGCCCGAGGCCTCCTGGGGGCTGGCTCAGACGCAGGTTCCAGGGCCCTCCCCAGGGCTGGGTGAGCAGGTGATGCAGGTACAGCTGGACTGTGGACCCCTATAACAGAGGAGGAGGATAGTTAGATGGCAACTAGAAACATCACATATTAAACATCACATATTGTTTTGAAACAGTGGTTGCAGTTGGGGTGGCAATTGGGGCCCCTCTTTGACTATATGTCAGGGCACCATGGCAACTGATAACTGAAAGAAGTGTGGCAGGGCCATGCTCTGAGGCCTGGCCCACCCCCAGGCGGGAAAGGGACCCGCAAGTGCTGTCGTTGCATTCACAGCTAGAAAGGGTGGGCTTTTGGAGACCACTCAGCTTGTTGCGTGTTCCCAGCAGTCTGATGCCTGCCTCGGGGGAAGAGGCAGGCCTTCTGTCACCATAGGGAAGTAGCTGCACTCTCTGCAGGGGGCTATAACCACTGGAGGGGGCAGAGAGCGGGCCCAGAGGACCACCAGAAAGGCTGTGGGGACTTCAGTGGTCAGTCAGCATGGGATGGGCCACCAGAGAGGCAGGCCAAGGAGGCCCAGCAGTGAGACTCAGCACTGAATGGCTGCCTGCAGGGGACAGGAGTGGGAGGGGCGGATGAGGACCAATGCGCCAGAGCGTCACAGCAGTCTGAATGGGCCAGGACCCCTAATAAGACTCTTCTCTTTCAGCTGGAATTATTTGAGATGCCCAGACTAGGTTCTAAGACTGACTGTGAATACTGCATTTTGAGAAAAGGAACCAGCTAAATGGTTTCAGGGAAGGTCTATGCATCTCCACATTTATTATGTACAACCTTTGTTCATTTTCAGGGATTTTGCAGAAGGAGCTTTCATTAGTTTTTTAAAGTGCTGTGCAACCCAAAAGAAGTTCCAGAGGTTTCTCCCCAGATGATGATCACGGCTGACGGTTTACTCTGATCTGCTGTTGTGGAACATAGGGAAGTGCTGTGGGACAGGGCTGCGGGGCGGGGCTGGTATGCGACACCCACCACCCACCCGCTGCCACCACCGTGGGAACAGAACGCTGTTAAGCTCTGAGTCTCAGCTCTTTGTCCTTGGATTTCCGACATAAACATCCTGGGCTCTGCAGCCTCCAGCTCATGGTTCCAGGATTACATCACTTCTCTGTCTTCTCTGTTACATTTCACACTCTTCTTTGATTACTGCTCGTTATTTTGTGCTATTATTGTGGACACTGATCATATCATTGCTTGAGTTTCTAGTTCACATTCACTCTGCCTTTTCCCGAGGCCTCAGGTTTGCTCTCACTGGAAGCAGCTTGTTTAGTATTAATATATTCAGCTGCAGTCTGCCCTGTTGGCCCTTTGTCTGTGCTCATTGCCTAAGTCTGACTTCACTGTCTTTGTGGGTCTTTGGGCTTATCTTTCCTTGAGCCATGGATACGTGACAGCCTTTTTTCTCTGACTCTGCACCTCTGTGTGCTACGTGTACTGGGTCTTCAAAATGAAATATAAGCTTTTCTATTTTGGTACATTTTCATTTATGGTAAAGTGTTACTTTTTATTGGCTCCAATTTGAGAATTCAGCTAACTAAACCTCCTAAGATGCTAGTATTTGAAGGGATCTTGGAGGTTCTCTCTACCCACCTGCATCCGTGCTCAGAGAATAGTGATTATAGGTTTAATTTCTAAAGTGATTTCGTCAGACGTAGACTATATTGGAACTATTTTTCTTTTTTCACTTGATTATTATAAACTTGTCATCATGGACATTTTCAAGCCTGCCCAAAGGTAAAAGGAATAGCATGATTTCCTGCCACGGACTTATTACCCATCTTTGGCAATTATCAGCTTTCTGCCATTCTGTTCCTCTACCCAGCCTCCAGTTTTTTGACAGCACTTAAATTATAACAATACTACATGCTTATAGTTTAAACCAAAAAAAGGCGGGGTGAGGACAGTAAAAGTTTCCCCAGCCCTACCCACTCTCAGAGGTAACCACTGTTTATGTTTCAGATATATCCTTCCTGAAGTTTTTTTTTTAATATTCAAGAATATTACTGCATATGTAATTTTCTCAAAAAGAATCACATTTTTACTGAAATATCTTTTTCTTTTTCTTTCTTTCTTTTTTTTTTTTTTTTTTTTTTTTTTGAGACAGAGTCTCACTTTGTTGCCCAGGCTAGAGTGAGTGCCGTGGCATCAGCCTAGCTCACAGCAACCTCCAACTCCTGGGCTCAAGCAATCCTCCTGCCTCAGCCTCCTGAGTGGCTGGGACTATAGGCATGTGCCACCATGCCAGGCTAATTATATATATATATATATTAGTTGGCCAATTAATTTCTTTCTATTTATAGTAGAGATGGGGGTCTCGCTCTTGCTCAGGCTGGTTTCGAACTCCTGACCTCAAGCAATCCTCCCACCTCGGCCTCCCAGAGTGCTAGGATTACAGGTATGAGCCACTGTGCCCGGCCCAGAATATGTTTTTAAATACATTTTGGGTGTTTTCTAAGTTAGCACATGAACTATTAATTCATTTTAAAGAAGTGGCTGGATAACATTCTATCCTATAAGAGTATAATAATATTTTTAATAGTGATTAATAGAAGATAATATAGTTATTAACCTCACGCCTAAATTTTCTATGATAGTTAAAAGTCCTATCCCTGGGTTCTGTGGTATGTATACCTTCCCTGAACTACATTTTGCTGAATTGATCTCTGAAGCGGCTGTTCTAGTTAACACGACCCGCTTTCCACACCTTTGTTGTCATTTGTACTGTTAGACATCTTCATCTTTGTCAACATGGTGCATCTGAAATGGAATCTCATGACTAGCATTAGTAGATCTGCGATGGAACCTCTTTTCACATGTTTACAGTGTGAGGTGTCCTTTCTGTAAATTGCCTGTTTCTCTAACCAAACATCTGATTCTGTTGTTGTTTTGATAGTTACCTCGGTGGTAGTGGCATCACTGGATGTACCAGGCTTATCATCATATACAAGTGGTAGTCATTTTGTCTCCTTTCCCCAGTTCGTGTCTTTTTTTATTCAGAGGTTGTCTAATCGAGTAGGCTGGTGCTTCCAGAGCAGAGTTAAATAGTAGTAATGGGCGCGTCCCCCCTCACGGCTGTCGTGGATCTGCTGCCCATTAACACTGTCAGGCACGCTGCTGGCTTTTGGTTGAGCTATATTCGTCTTTGATCCTGTGAAGGAATTTTTTTTACTAAAGGCTTTTATCAAGAACGATTACCAAATGCCTTCTTGTCACACAGATGAGCTTCCCCATGCTCCTTTGACCTGTTACTGTGGTTATACTATCAAATCTTTCATGTGGCAGGAGTAAGAATATTGCGCACTTAGGAGAGCAGGAGCAGTCCTCTTAAGCAGAAGAATAGTCCTTCCCCTGAGAAGATGCGCTGGTGAGGCATTCTGTAATGGAAGGCCTTCGGATTACATTGAGGAGGAGAATCCGAGGCAAAAGGCAACTGAACTTGCTCTTCACCACAAGCTAATGGCAATTTCTCATTTGATGCTTGAGAGGGAAGAGTTTGGGGGGAACCTTTGGACTTGGGAAGAAATCACAAAAGAGAGCCCAAAGTCTCCCTGAAGAGGAAAGCTAAGCAAGGCGGGGCTGAGATCAGTCAGGGGCCCACGGGCTGGATGGGGCGGAGGCAGGAGCTCTGCTCAGGTTCCAGTTGGACACGCGGGCACTTCCGTTGCTGCTGAGTGGGGTGCAGGCAGTGGGGCTGCTTATGTGAGGGGCCCTGTTATGCCTTTCCAATGTTTAAATGTGTTTCCTTGAGAACTGGCGAAATTAAATGTCTTACCATTTTTTATCGTCTATTTACATTTCCCCTTCTCAACTGACAGATAATGTCTTCTGTTTCCCTAATACTTTTCTATTATAGTTTTTGTGTTTAGATCTTTAAGTTATCAGCAGTTTATTTACATCCTTAATTTGAAGCATGGATCTAACTTTATTCAGATGTCTAAACAGTTATACCCAAACTTTCCACTTACTGAGTTAAAATACCACATGCTTTAAGTGACCAGTGAGTTAAGTTGATAAAAGGTAGTTTAAGTCATTCCTCACTTTAGTGCTAGAATGACTCTCGCATGTTTGTATAGAGGTTGTGGTTAGTAGTGGTATAATTAAATCCATTAGTGGAGGAATGATTAGATCAAGACATTTTAACGCTCTGATGGGTCTCCCTCTTCCCTTATAGGACTCGGTTGCTTGAGCTCTGTTTTGGTTCACCAGTAGGCCTGGACCTGAACACTACAAGTCCTATTGCAACTCAAGCTGGCCAGCAGTTCCAAGTGATCAGAGGGAATGCCAAATTGGTTGTGTCCCCAAGGCTGGCCATTTGCATTGCGATTATTGTCAAATTGCTGCTAGCTCATTGTTTTTCCCTGCTTTTGTTTGGGGTTGGACAGGAAAGTACTTCTGATTTTTCTGCCCTCGTGCATCCTGTGTGGTCGTGTCCCCGTCCAGCTATTCTGTGGCTCTACCCCACCCATCCTCTTCAGGATGCCCTACATAGTACAGCATGTTCTTCTTGCTGCTGTGTCGGGGTGGCCCTCATCCTTGTCCCCTGGGCAGCTCTGCTTTCTCTCATTCAGTCCCCACTCTGATGGATGGTGATCAACTCTAATAACCTGGGAGCTCACTGTATCAGTTGGGGTGTCTTTAACTCAGAAACCCTGACCCGCAGCTCTCCCCAGTGTCACACGGGAAGCATAGAGGGGCCCTACTGAGGATGAGGACGTACCTCTGGAGTAGTGTGGTCTGGAGTCAAATCAAGGAAAGGGTTGGGCTTGGTGGCTCACACCTCTAATCCCAGCACTTTGGGAGGCTGAGGCAGGAGGATCACTTGAGACCAGCCTGGGCAACATAGCAAGACACCAACTCTACAGAAAAAAACTTAAAAATTAGCCAGTCATAGTGGCATACACCTGTCCCAGCTACTTGGGAGACTGAGGCGGGAGGATTGCTTGAGCCCAGGAGTTCAAGGCTGCAGTGCGCTATGATTAAGCCACTGTACTTCAGTGTAGGTGACAGAGTGGCACCCTGTCTCTTTTTTTTTTTTTTTTTAAAAAGGACAGGGGGCAGACATACAAGCCTAGGACAGCATTTTCAGGAACCTGGCTGTGAGGAAAAAGGACATGTGTTTATGTGTTGGGCAGGAGAAATACCAAATGCTGGTGGCCCAGCAGGGAAGGAGAGCTTTGTTTTTCAAGATACTTTTGTTGATTATGTCTAATCTCCTTCTAGATTATAAGTACATGCAGGCAGAGGTATTGAGTATTTTTGTTCACTATTGTAGCCTTAGCACCTAGAACAGTGCCTGGCACATAGTGGGCACACAGATATTTATTGAATTATTGTTGAAGCATCTAGAATAATTTTATTTTTATGGAAATTAATTCAGGAATTTGTTAATATGAAGCTTAGAAGCAGTTTATACGCTTACATGTCACTGTTTTAAGGCTATCTTGAGTGCCGCTTCTCATGGTATTTCTAGACTTTACGGTTGACCCACTGACCCAGTTTGCAACATTTGTAGAATTTGATTAGCTCCCTTTCTGAAATTGATGTTATTCATCCATCTAGCTTGTAGGTCCTCACTGGATGGTAAATAGAAGTGTTGAGCAGCAGATTGCCTGGACACCCCTAGGACATCCCTAGTGCTGTTGACATTAGGCCATTGTGGGCCAGTGGTGCTTTTCTGGGTTGTATTTGAATAAATCATACATCTGCCTAGTTGTTTAAGTCTGTTTTTCTCAATCTGACCCACAGGAATATCACAGAGTGGTGTTCCTTATACTCCTGTGTTAACGCATTCCTTATAGTATTAATGGTTACTTCTTGAGGATGCCCAGATAATGCCATTTTCTTCCACTCTAGTATAAGCAACACATAAAAAGAAATGAGGTTAGGCTGCCAGAGCCTATTCTTGTTTTTATTTGCTATTTATAGATTATAACTCAAACTTCCACTTGTTAATACAACTGATATTTCCATCTATCGGTGATACCTTCTGAACTGTTGTGGTTGCAACTATTTTGTGCACATGACTTTGTGTTCCAGATTTTTCAGTCTGTGCTATTTTTAAAATTTGCTACTATGCTTCTGTAACCAGTTTATTGAGGATTCTTATCTCATAGGGGTAAGAAATGAAAAGTTTTCTTTCTTTCAGTAACTGGTGCCCAGCTGTGCTATATTAAACCTCATTCTTCTGGGCAGCAGATCCTTAAACAACATATTGGACAGATTCCATTCTGGTCACTTATGCTTTTTAGAACACTGTCATTCTGCTATTTAAGACCCAATCCTATTGTTTCAAAAACTTCAACGTCAGTGTCTACTCATACTTCTCTCCCACTGTCTGTGGCTCTGGAAATTTGACTGGAGAGGGCGCTGTCTTTACACCCCACCTCCTCTTCTCTCACTGAGGTGCTAGGTCCTTTGCATGTTGGAATAGGAAGGAAGGATGAGAAAGGGTATTCTTTTTTAATCAGGTAAGGCTGCAGTTCTCTTTGTCGAAGTTGCTCCTCTGGCCTTACTTAGTAGCTGTCTGTTGATACCCTCCATGTGATACACAAGAGAGTGGGTGGCACTCTCTTGGCAGATGTGAATGGCCTCTTCAGAGGACCATGGAGGGAGTATACCCTCTCCTAGCTGACAGCTCTTTGGGGGAGCAGCAGATATTGGCAAGATGATTGTGGTCTGGCAGCCTTCTATGTTAACCCATTGTAAGGTCCCAACTCCTTGGTGTGTCAGATAGCTTACTATGTTTACTCCCATCCTCCTTATTTGTCCATTTGTGAGTCAAAATTCTCATTGAGCCATATGGTCTCAGGATAGTCAAGATACTGAATTTATTCCTACCGTGTTATTGTGACCATTCTCTTTTCTATTGTAACTATTTCCCTTGTAATCTCTTTTCCCCCATGGGTTACTCACAGGTGTGTTTCTTAATTTCTAAATATGTGAGATTTTCTCAGGTTTCTAATTCTGCTATACTCAGAGGACATAATTTGATTTTAATCTTTTCTAATTTTTTGAGATTTGTTTTATGGCCCA